TCTGTCTGTTTTTTTGGGTCGGCGGAGGGCCGCGGGATATTTGATTCCTTTTGGAACCAGGGGTTTATTGGAAGCGGCGCTGGCTGAGAGAGCGGAAGGCTCATAAGGGGCCGAGGAGGGCCCTGAGGTGGCCGATAGGGGCCCTGTGGGGGCCGGTATATGCCCTGTGTGGGCTGAGATGAGCCCTAAGGGGGCTGAGGTAGGGGCTGACCCTGGCTGGGCTTGCGGCTTACAAGAGCCGGGAAGGTTCGGTCATTGACCTGTGGTGGAGCTTTGCGGCTCGGAGGTGGGCGAGGGGCGCGAGGGCAACCTCTAAAATTGGCCGGATGGCCTGTTTGCCCGCAGAGGAAACATGAGGGTGGGGATTCGGCGTCTTTGGGCCGTGGGCACTCTTTCGAGTGATGGGGTTCTAGGCACTTGATGCACCTGGGTGGAGCTGAGCAGTTGGCTGCCGCGTGTCCATAGAGTTGGCAGCGGTGGCACTGCGCTGGGTAACCGCGCCGGTGAGGGGCTTCGACCTTAACACGCGACAGGCCGCACACAGTGCGTACCTCGCGGAAAATGGCCTTCGCCTCCGGCACATTGGTGAGAACGAGGAGGGCGAGGTTAAATCTTTCGCCCCTGCTGCTGTGCATTTTATGCACACCTTCAATGGGGAAGCCTTGGGATTTAAGGTCTTCCAGAATGTCTTCGTTTGCGAGTTCATAGGGAACTCCGCGGAGGACTGCCTTGACTTTCCTTTCTTCGGCGAGGGCGTGTGTGTGGTACCACACACACGCTCGGCCGTGAATAGGCGGGTTATGTTACGGATGTCTTCTATAGACGCCGGCATAATTTTGATGGCCTCGCCGACATTAGTGGCTTGGTCATATTTGAAACCCTTATCGTAGAGGGTTTTGGACAATTGAGTGAATTTCGCCTTGTCTCTGAGAAAGACAGGGGGCGGGACTTGGTTTTTAGCCAGTTCGGGAGCGCAGCGGGTTGCTGGCTTGGCGGTAATGTCTTTCGACTGTGAGGCGGCAGCTTTTGGGGCTGCGGAAGTAGGGGCAACGATGGGAGCTGCGGAGGTAGAGGCAGCGGCGGAGGGTGTGCGGGCGGCGGTGGCGGCGGCCGCTGAGGCGGGGGGAGTGCGAGAAGTGGCAGCGCGTTTCGGGCCGCGCTTTGATTTCACTAACGTGAATTCGGCTTGGGAGTCGGTTATGGTTCCTTCGGAGTCGGAAGAATCCGAGGAGCCGGTGGAGCTGAGGGCGGTCCTCTTCCGGGAGGATGAGGTAACGGACGTGGTGTCCGAGTGCTCCATATCGGAGTCGGGGGGACGCGGGCAAGTCGGACTGCGGGGCAGCCGCTTGGGTCGCGAGGAAAGCAGCGACGGCGGGCGGGGGTACACATGCCTTAGGGGCACGGGGGGTAAGATTGATCGAGAAGCTATCAAGGTCTACGCCTTGGGTTTTTAAAAATTGGTGGAAAAGAGCCAAAATTTGGCTAGCATCCATGGAAGACATGTTGGTCGGACGGGGGGGGGGGGAGACGATTTGATTCTTATGAAACTAGAGGTCCCTGTTCTGAGAAGAACAGGGCCTTGGGGCAGATGGGGAGGACTAACGTTCTATTCCAGAAGCTGGGGTCCCTATGTTCTGAAAAGAACAAGGGCTCGCTCTGAGAAGAGCAAGAGACGATCTTCTCTAAGAACAGTATATACAACAATACAACAAGTAACAGTATAACAAAAACAATAACAGAAAAATTTATTTATTTATTTATTTATTTATTCTCTCTTACATCTATCTTTACAGTTTCCTAATGCGATAGAGTAACTTATCCTAAGATTTAACAAAAATTATTACCTAAAATCAACAATAAGAATATAATAGAAGTAAATATATAATAAAAGTAAAAGCATTTCCTACCTAAATAAAATACTAACAAAAATTATTTCCTACTAACAACAGATTATAAAAATAAAAAAAATAAACAAAAAATTACATAAAAAACCTAGATTTAACTATAACTTATTACATATAATGTGACCTTCGGTAATAAATATGACTGTGTGTGCTGGAGCAGTTGGAGATTTTAAAAAGTAATAATGGTAATTATACACTGCTGAATGAACAAACAAATGTTTCTAATTCACCTTTGTTAAACATCTTTAAGGCCAATCTTTAATAATAATTTTAAGATTAATAATAATAAATAATTATAATAATATCAATAAAACAATAATAATAATAGTATTTAAAATATTAATCATAACAATAATAATAATTAGTAGCAGATTTGTTATCGCACGGCGCGGTCACTCAAAACAATAATAATAATAGTATTTTAAAAATAATCATAACAATAATAATAACTGTTGGCAGTTTTGTTATCGCACGACGCGGTCACTCGCTACTTTGGTAGGGAGCGATTGTGTCAGCGTGTATAAATAGCAACTGTTTCGACTCGCCGCTCACTTAGCGGTCAGCCGCCGTAGAGTCTATATTACCTGATGATGCCTCGTGTAGAGGCGAAACACGTGTCGTATTATCGTCGATGGTGTGTCTTGCCTGGAATAGTGGTGTTGAGAGTAGTGGTGCTTGGTATAGTGGTGACGGAGTTAGTGTATGCAATTGAGGGAGGGCGGGAGGTGCGCTTCTTTCCAGGTAAGACACATCATTTTATATGTTTAGCGGAAAGTTGCAAAGAAATTTATATTTTTATTTTTTATTTCCTGTTTAGTGTTCTGAGTGCGCGCGTGAGCGGCGCGTGCTGCAGCAAGTTAGTCCTCGCGCGCGGTACCGCCAGCAGCTGCGGCCGGCGTCTGCGATATACGTACCGGTCAGGGACTCGGAGTGCCAACTGATCCAGCACGTCTGTGTTATGTACTCTGCCTATCAGAACTGTGTACAAATAGTGTGCAAGAGTAAATTCCCTTCTAACCCTGATTTCATTGTAACCTACCATACCTAAAATGAACAATGTTGGATACATTAATGGATAGAGTGGATACACTCCATACAGTCGCATGTACAGGTATCTTAAAAATTTATTTTGTACTCGCTCCAGCATAAGAGTGTACTTGTTTTCGTGCGGCGACCAAATCATCGCATTGTATTCCAGTTGGCTCCTAACCAGTGTATTATATAATGCAGTAATTGCGTAAATATTTGTGAAATTATTAACTGTGCGTAGTATGAAACCCAAACTTTTGTAAGCTTTTTTACAACATTTAATGATGTGTTCACGAAAAGTTAATCCTGTATTCATACCCACTCCTAAATCACGAACTTCCTTGACCCTAGTCATGGGTACACAGTCTTCTATCATATAATTATGTACAATAGGGTTGTGGCTACGAGAGAATGTAATTGTGACACATTTTGAGGTGTTAAGCTGCAAGTTGTTTTCCTTGCTCCACCTAGTCACCCTATCTATATCACTTTGTAGCCTCGTGCAATCCTCCTTACATACTATAGGTAGGTATAATTTAAAATCATCTGCAAATAATAGGCATTTTGCTTCTTGGACCATTTTGGGGAGATCATTTATCATTATTATGAACTCCAAAGGACCTAAATTACTACCCTGGCTTACTCCAGACCTCGTGAAATATGTGTCTGATCGGTATCCTGCATATTCTACATATTGCTGTCTGTCTGTCATGTAGCTAGCAAAGAAGTTGAGTAAGTGTGGTGTAAAACCAATGCCTGCTAGCTTTCTGAGTAGGATATCATTATCTACAAGGTCAAACGCTTTTTTTGAAGTCGAAATAGACTGCGTCGACCTGCCCGCCCGCGTCCACCGTCGGTAACACGTCCGCCATATACGCAAGAAGATTACTGCTTGTACTTCTATTCGGCCGAAACCCGTGTTGTGAATCCGATAATTGTATACCCATTTGATGATATACGCTCTTCTGTATAGCTGACTCAAATATTTTTGCTGGAGTCGACAGGACTGCGATAGGTCTATTACCATCCAGGTTTCCTTTGGCACCAGCTTTCGGTACTGGTACTACCCTAGTCGTCTTCCATCTTTCCGGAAATACTGCTGCTCTCAGGGATTGGTTATATATATGAAGCAAAGGCTTAGCTAGAACAGATCGGCAGTCTCTAAATATATACGGTGGTATACCATCTGGTCCTGTCGATTTCTTTGGCTTAAGTTGTTTAAGGGCGTGCTGTACCTCACTGAGCTGTAACGCGCTAAGGTGTACGCGTGCTGCCGCGTTCTCACTGCCAGTCACCTGTATCGCTGAATTTACATCTAATTTAGCCTTACACGGACTGTACACCGAATAGAAGTAATTGGCTAACTCATGTACTGACTGTTCATTCGTCAGAAGTTCACCGTTTTTATACATTTTCCGAGGACTTCTATTGCTTTTTTTGGAGTTTATATACCTCCAGAAAGATATAGGGTTTTCCTGTAAATTACTTTGAACGATATGCTGATGGTGTGTATACGCTTCTCTTATGCTTTGTTTGACCTTAGCCCTAAATTGTGAAAAAACCTCGTAATCTAAACCTGATCTACTTTTCTTGTATACTTTATGAAGAGTAGCTTTTTGTTGTATTAATCGGATAACATCAGCGGTATACCACTCAGGATACACGTATTTAGACCTACTATAACATTGAATTTTTTTTGGAACACATTGTTCTAATATTTTATTAATAGACTCGTAGAAGTAATCTAAACTCATTTCTAAATTTAATTCATATATGGAAGACCAGTCTGTGGTCTCAATTAAATGATACAACAAAGGAAAGTTAGCTTTTTTAAAATGCCATTGCGGAGGTATTTTGGTGATGTTTGAAAATGTGTTTGACCTTGAATGCGCGATAGTGTCAGTGTGAGTAAGCGATCGCAAGCAGACAGTTACATCGAGCGGTGGATGTTGTACGTCGACCGGCACCAACGGCTGGGTCGCCCCGCTCACGCGCACACCATCTCCCCGCTCCTCAACCGTGCTCAATACTAGATCTAGACATCTATCATTACAATTGTAAATATTGTTACTCTGAATGAACCCACAATAAGTTATAAAATATTAAAAATATTGATTTACACTAAGTGGACAAGAGTACATATTGAAATCTCCTAACACTAAAACCTTGTCGTAACTGTTACATAGCTGCTCAATTATTCTAAACATTACCATATATTCACATTCACTACTATTAGGCGGTATATAAACAGCGCACAACAAAAACAAAAACCGGTTTCGAAGGTAGACAGTAGCGCAAACTATTTCGAATATATGATTGTCAATGTTTACATTGTCAGGTATCGTAATTCGTCTCAGTTCGAAACGCGGTGTGGCCACTAAAAACGCGCCGCCTTGTTTGCGTCCATCTGTTCGGTCACACCGAATAATACTATGACCTGGTGGGACCAGCTCACCGTCGTAAATCGACTCATTACAACCTGTTTCCGTAATGATGAATAAATCAGAATCAGATGAAGCAATAGCCAAATAGAAATCGCTTGTCTTCGTTCTAAGTCCTCTCACGTTCTGATAGTAAATTTGTATATTCTTACTATTTTTTGTCACTTTGTTGCTCACGGGTGTTTCGACGAAACCACACCCACTCGCAAAATTCAATATTTATAGGCCAGTGTTCTGGTTGGCATAATACGTTATATTTACTTTCAGGGAGTGCTATAATAAATGAAGAATAGTCTCTTTGAGTCTTATGTTTTATTTGGTCAATCTTTATGGGCACTTCATTTCCACAAATATTTTTAACATACTTTTGTAGGCTTTCAATTGTGGTTTCTGTGTCTAACCGCCAAACATGCAGGTACCTTTTTCTCTCTGATCCCTTAATTTCAGTTGAATTCGTACTTTCTCCTTTTTTTACTTCATCGTTGGGATATCTCTTTTTCTTGTTTACCACCGTCCAATTACTAGTTTCCATTTTATTTTCTTTTTGAATAGTAATATCCGTTAGATCATTTTGTGAATCTATCACAATACATTGTTTGTGCACAATCGGCTCCGTGGGTTTCATGGCCACACTTTTATTATCCGCTGCCTTCTTTTGAGTTTGTTTCTTTGCAACATTTGCAAACGTTAAAACTGACTTTTCCGGCTGCTGGACTGCTGACTGCTGACTTTTCTCCATATTACAAATTGATTCTAGTTCTTCCTTTTTCTTTTCTAATATTTTAATATTAGCCTCTAAAAGATCTATTTTATTTACTTTTTCTTGAACTACCTCCAAAATCTTTTGTACTTTTTGTAATTCGTTTTCCGTAACAACAAATCTCTTTTGAAGTAGGTCGTACTCCTTTGCTTGTCTATCTAGTCGACAATTAAAATCATATCTCAACGCTCTTAACTCTTTCAGTATCTCATTTTCTACTACTATAGAATCAACGGTAGTCGGACCGCCGCCACCACCTCGCTTGATATTGACGTAGCTAGGTGTAACTGGTTCCTTATTCACTTGCTTGGGTCCTCGTACTGGCGTGTTCAAATTACCACCTTTAGGGATAATGCTCGTGCACTCTGGGCATAGCCATTTACTTCCACTTTCCCCTGTGGTAGCCTCCAGCTTTTCCTTCCCCAATCCAAGACACGCAAGATGGTAAGATTTACCACAATTTTTCTCCGAACACTGCATCCTGAGATCATCACATATTACGGCATGGCAGCCGTCACATTTAGTGCCCATTTTTGGGCTCAAAACACTCAGAGTCACACACTTATTATTTATTTTTAATTCGATTGACTTGCAACACGTCCGTTCCGTACCGCGTGCTATTGCGTAATTAAAAATAAAACAAAACAAGCGAAGCGCGCTCAAGCCTCCCCGCCGGAGCAAGGGGGCAAGAACGATGCGAAAAACAAAGTGACTCACCAACGGCGTCTGCTCGGCCGGTGTTTAGCCGGGGAGAGCGGGCAAGCGGTTGCGCTACCGAAGGGTCGGAGGCGCGAAAGAACTGTATGCACGACCGCTCGGGGGCGGCGCGCAAACGGAACTGAGCGCGTGGCCCGCGCGCGCCCCTTTTATTCGTTCAGTTGCGATGATCGCGTGACATTCTAGAACTATCTTCTTTCCCCTCCCACCCCACCACCCCGATGTGTCGATAGGTCGGTAGGTTTTTGGAAAGGGACAAACGCTTTGGCAAGCCTACCTTCTAATAAAATAAATACGAATGGTTTTCCGCGCAAACAATATTTGTGGTGACATCAGCCAGATCTACTGACTTATCTAAAAAAGGGATTAAAATCCATCTACGCCCATTGTCAGCTTCAGAGTACAAGTCTGGAAAGTATGTCAAAAGTTTCTCTTGTAATAATTTGCAAGCTCTGTATCAAGCGAGGAATGTGAGCCCTTACTACAAGACTTCGGTCTGATGCGTTATCTTCAATAATCTTAACACATGGAAAAGACTCAAATATATTGTTTTGCAGAGAGGTTGACCACAAACGGAGTTTTGCGTGAAATGCTTTGACTTTATCTTTAGCTGTTAAAATATTTTCATCTCTATCTTGGAGGTTCTTGTTCAAATTATTAAGGTGGCTAAAAAGATCTGCCAAAAATGCTAATTTCAAGAGCTAAATAGGGTCAGAAAAACGATTAGCATATTCAGATTTTGCATCTTGTAAGAACACTAACAATTCAGCTCTCGGTTCTAAAACACTTGTCAAAACCTTTCCTTTGGATAGCCACCTGACCTCTGTGCGATAAAGAAGATTTTGATGAAGCGAGCCCATATCTTTATATAATAGTATATTCAAACGATTCTGAATAGCCGGGTTTGCAAGGCTTTGCCTTAGATAGAATTCACAATTTTTATTACCTCCTTGAGCACATTCATTCAGAGTCATTTAAATCAGAAGGTACTTACTACCTTAGCAGCTAGTCTGCCGATGGAGGAAACAGTGGCTGCGTTTGGCAGAAAAAAGCGCTAGCAAGCGCTTGTAAGCAAAATGGCGATCGTAAGCGGTAAGCGCTGTCAAATCGTAAGTAGCTATTTTTCTCTAGGACACGAAGTTAACTTTAACCGGGGAACCTAACCTAATTTAAACATATGTTTGTAAAGTATTCATATTAAAAACTTACTAATCATGAATTTTTAATAACATGTATATGTTTATTCATGTCATTATATTACATAAAACTAATATTGCACAAAACAACTTATAAACTTTACTTTAAAACAAACATTTAATAAACAATTAATAAATTAAATAAGCAAAATGGCGGATTGTGTTAGTTAGTTAGTTGAAGTTAGCAAACGGTTCCTGGCCGAAAACTGTTTAGTTTCGCCATTTTACTTACAAGCGCTTGCTAGCGCTTTTTTCTGCCAAACGCAACAAGTACGTCTAGGATATATTTGGCATTATCAATTTTAATTTCGCTATGATTCAGCTTTTTTTCCAGTCATAGCTTTAGCGCCATCGCTACCAATAGTGATACATTTTTACCAATCATTATCGTAGTCGCAAGTGCTTTCTAAAACATATCGTACAAACACTGGCCAGTAGTGTTTGCAGGAAGCGCTTTGCAAAATAACATTTCTTCCATGATACTGTCGTCTGCTTCAAAACGCACAAATACTACAAACTGAGCACATCACACACAATGGAAACACCTGTAGATTCGTCAAACTGCAAAGCAAAATGTTGACTGTTTTTTAATTTTTCGACTGCTTGTTGGCAGTTGTCGGCTTGTCTGGTAATATCATTGGCCATATCGTTTATTCTACGTGATGTAGTATTGTCAGAAAGTGGTATGTTTTTTAACTTGTTTGCCTCTTGCTAACTGACCATTATTTCAACTATATCAAGGGCTGCTGGCAAAATAAGATTTTCCGCAATTGTATGCAGTTTCCCTGCTTTAGCAACTCGATATGCGACTTTGTAGATAGCTAATAATGCTGACTTGTTGACACTGGATGCCTGAAAATAAACCAAACAATATAAAAGTGAGTAATTAATAAAATTTAAGCACGCGAAACCTTTGCACACCAAAATTAAGTATAATAAAAAGTTGTATGCAAACAACAAAGAAATAAAACATCATTAAACATCAACAGTAAAAACAGCAACAATTAGAATAGACTCGACTTGAGCTTATCGTTAAGCGAATTGAGACTAGGAAAACACTATTTTATTACCTGAATCATATAATTTTGCTTCTGGCTAAGAGTTTTCAACTTTCGTTCGAAGAAATCCAACGGCTTATCAGCTTCTTTTTGATGCTTCGTTGTGAGATGCCGTATAAGCTTTGACGGTTTCATACTCTCACGTGATAAAACATCGCCGCGAATTACACATTAAGGTTTATTATTTATGACTGCGAACCCGTATTTCAAATAACTGTCATCGTAATGACTATTTTTTTCGGGTTTGATTCACCACCACCGCTATTGACACAAGATGTTAATCATAATCATAAGATGTTATGTTTTTAATAAAATAATCCGCATTTGAACCCAGTTTGGGCGTAGCAATTATAAAAATATTAAATATTATTTTTAAACTACAATATCATGTTTCATTAATAAATTACATTATTAGGTTAAATTATTTTAAAATTCTGTAAATTTAATTAAATTAGTAATCACAATGTCAAGTAAAAAACTTATAATTATTATAATAAATAAAAATAAAATTAAATAAAAAATAATAAGTAAATAAAAAAATTAAATTAAATTAGATAGGCACAGGCCGAAGTTGTCCACACAAATACAAATAATATTTGTATCAAAATATTCATTTAAATTATAGAAAAAATTTTCAATTAAATATATCTTTAATTTGGATAAAAATAATGTAGTACTCGTTACAGTTTTTATGTCATTTGGAAGGTCATTAAAAATTTTAACTGCCATACAGTAGGGACTAGAGTTATGTAAAGCAAGAGTAGATTTCAGCAATAGTAGCCTATTCTTATTTGGTCTAATTGAGTATTTGTAATTTGTTTCACTTAATTTGGTAAATAGTTCTGGGTGGTTTTTTTTACAAATTTGCATGTTTCCCAAATATAAATAGACGTCAAAGTCAAAATTTTAAACTTTTTGAAGTGGGGCTTACAACTTGAATTTTTATGTTTGCCAAGATTCTTATAATTTTTTTTGCATTATAAATAATTTCTGTGCATCTTTACTATTTTTCCCCACAACATGACACCGTATGACAGCCACGAAGATATGTATGCGTAATATGCTGACAGAGCGCTGGAGACATCTGTGGTTTTCTTTATTTCTCGTAATACGTAAGTGAATTTTGATAGCCTATTTTTTACTTTATTTATATGGGCTTTCCAGTTTATATGGCAGTCGATTTCCAGGCCTAACAAGTTGAAGTTGTCAACAATTCTTATAGGTATATTATTATAAGTAAAAGCTATATTTAGTGGTGATTTTTGAACTGGTCGGAATTGCATAATTTTGGTTTTATTAAAATTAATCTCTAGATTGTGATGTGTCAATTTGTAACCTAGTTCAATACTTGATTCAATGTATTATTTAAATTCTGGTCTGGTGTGTTGTGGTAAATTACATTTTTTTTAATGTGAAGCCCAAATTTTAATTTAATAAATTAAACGAATACATCATGTATTGAGGTTTTTAAAAAATATTTCCTTTAGTCTTCAGTATATAAAATTTTAATAGCCCCATCTACTTAATTCTATAGGTGAAGTCATTTTATCGAACGAAAATTGATTGATTCTACGGTCATACAACCTATCTGGCGGTAGTATGCCTTCTGTGTGCTTTGTTAAACACGTCCTCGACAGAACTGAATATGAAACTGAAGAGTGGAGACAGAACAAGATTGATGTATTTTTAAAACTGCTAAAAAAAACAAAACCATATCTTGGGCTTGCCCCAGTTTGGAGCCCTAGCTTCGCCACTGAACGAGGCATACCATCTTAAGTTCTCACGGGGGACAACGCATCTGCATTTTATTCGTAATCGAGGATAGATGTAGATTTCTATCGGCCACAGAAACTACTTACCATTAGATGGACTGTGTGCTCGTTTGTCACACTATCCTATAAAAAAATATTGTTATAAAATTGCAAAACGTCACATATATCATCACCATTGGCTAAAATGTCTGCTGTTCTTTTAAGATAACTTCCAACACCGTCAGCCGACCATTTTCCATAAGATAACCTCCCACACCATCAGCCGGCCATTTTCCATGGCCAGCTTCAAAAAATGACCACGTTATGTAAGAGAACCCTTAATCAAAATACTTCGTACACATCAAGTAAACATTTTGCTTTTGTCTATACTGTGCACTCGGGCCGTCCGAAAAAAAAATGCACGGTGTTGACGGTTTCATAATTAGATCTATTCCATTTTAATATTGGATCGAAGTGACTCCAAATTGCGGCAGCTTGATGATAGTTTGATGCGGAAATGTTGAAAAACGAATTGACTATAACCTCTTGCAGAATCACTGTCAAAGGTATAGACTACAACCGTGTTTGTTGGATTTAGTTTCAATTTGTCTGTGAGAGCTTTTCTTAAATTTCTCGTACTTTCGTCTTAGATTTTCACTATCTTGTCTAAGTTTTGCGTTTTCTCTATGCTCTCTCGACCTGTCCTTTTTCACTTCTTTTCGACCTAATTTTCTGCAAAGTGATGGTGACCTAAATGATGACGTTACACACGACGTTACAGAGGAGTAGGTGATTCCTGTGGTGAAGGAATAGCATAGGGAGGCGTTGGACCTTGAATTCAGACAGCATGGTTAACATTCTAACATAATAATTGCAAAATATTTTAAGAACTCATCGCTATTTACGAAATAACGCTGTAGAACAGCAATAAACCCAGGCGTACTGCATGAGGGCTTACAGCAGTCTGAGGAGCGCGTGGCGGGAGAATTGTCTTGAACCACTCCGAAGAATTTTTAGACAAAAGACACTTTCACTAACATAAAATAGACGCCATCTCTTACAATTTGTCTTCAACTTTTTACAGTAACGTCGTAGAATAGATATTTTCAACAATAATTAGGAGACATGTTTAGGGACGTCAAATAAATACTATTTAATTAAAATAATTGCAATTTTGTACTTCAATGTAAAGCTTATTTAATTCTCGATCGAAACACCTCGTCAATATTTAATGTATTCATACAACTTTTTAGAGAAAATTCATAAATTGTTACGTCATCTAGGTCCGGGGACAAGTATTTTTAGTATGAAGACTGATTTTGTTCCGTTGAGTTACCAAAAAATCTCGTAAATCTTGCTTAAAATTAAAATAAAGACTATATTGCCGTGTTGATGAAAAATCTGATGATGTGCTATAGTTAAAAATCTAAAAATTTGTAGAGAAATAAAAAAAAATATTGCCACTTCTATGATGGGGACATAAAAGTATAGATAGCGCGCGAGTTGAATGCAGAGCTCAGGAATGCGATAGTGCTGTGATCTAATTAGAATTAATGAGTTTAACGTTTTAAGTTTAGAAAAAACAAGGTAAAAATTATCACACATTTTTTCATTATTTTACACATCAAAATCAATAAAAAAAATTATAATTTATGCAGCATCAGATTCTGAAATGGCAGACTTGGTTGAATCGGTGTTACTATCCTCACCATCGCTGACCTCAATTACGAATCGATCTATGGTATCTTCCATTAATCCATCTCTTTGCCAATAATTTTCATCTAAAATTATGACGTGATCGTCGAAGCCACGCTAATCTTCCTCTGTGACCTGAGAGAGAGCCAGCTCCGTAACTTCTTTTAACCTTTTTAGGGAGAAATCAGAAGTAACATTGTGATGCCTTACAATTCTTTTTACTTTTGCCCAAGCCAACTCAATAGGGTTGAGGTCGCACATGTACGGTGGTAGTCTTACTACGATATGGCCTTGACTTCTGATGAATTCATCGATTTTGAAAGATTTTTCCGTAGGCTTATGTAACTGAACCAAGTGAAAGAGCTGATCTTTTCTCATAGTCAGTGAAGCTTCGATATTGTTCTTGGTTAACCATTCCAACATTACTGATTTGGTGCTGGACTTTATTTTCTTGTACACTATGATACGGTGCGTTGTCAATCACAACAACGCTGGTTTGTGGTAGATTAGGGATCAACATATCAGTGGCCCACTTCTCAAAATTAACACTGTTCATCTGTCCGTGATAATCACCTGACGTAGTAACAGCCTTAAAAAGTTACTTTGCACCATTTAAAAACCCTCCTCTCGATCCTGCGTGGACAATAATGAGCCTGCTCGTGGAGCTTGTATCCGTCAACACGGCGTCGATCATTTCATTTCTCTAGGATTTTTTAAATGTGAGGTTGTTGTCTACCCATGTTTCATCGAGAAAAAAAATCTTCTTGCCTATATTGACCAATTTTCCGCAAATAAATTGACCGTGCATATGCGACAGCTAGCCTCTCCACCAAAATTCTACGTTTATTATGACATTTGAGCCATCTATATCCCATGTCTTAACAATTTTCTTAAACTCGTCACTCCCCATGGAAACTCGATTTTTTCTCGAATAGCTGCGAGAATGTCGGAACAATTTTTTTCGTTAAATAAAATTCTTCAATAATTCTGTGTATAACATCTCAATCAAAATCATCGACGTTTAAATTTGTCTCCTTGTTACACTGTCTTTTCTTTTTAGAAGGCGAACAAAGAGGCCCTTTTTTGGCTTCATTTTGAATTGCAGACAATGTTCTCTTCGAAAGTCCAGTGTAACGGCTTGCGCGATCGTAAGCATTATTTAATGTGAATGTTAAATTGTTGTTCTGCCTTTCTTTAACACACATGTCTAGAACATTTTTCGCCATTTCCCGTGCTTGGCGATGAATGAAAACTCGTTTTTTTGTAACAGAACTTGACGTACACGGATCAGACATCATTAAAAACAAAAATAACACGCGGCTGCAACTTTATATTAACACGATAACACAGTAAACGTATAATAGTTGTCAAGGACAGCACAGCACTACACTGCAGGCGTGCGAGACGCGGCGTGCGGACGGCGGGGGGAGATGCTCCCGCTCTTCACCTCAGGCCCCGACGGCATTCAACTCGCGCGCTATCTGTAGTGCCTTAAAAGTTGATTCATCCATTTCCGAATCTAAGACCTTCATTTTGTTGAAGCTTATTCCTTTCAGAACGACAAAAAATAATCCTGCTTCTCAAAAATTTTACATTACATTCTAGATAAACAATGGCTAAAATATTTAGAAAAAATAATAGAAAAAATCCCCCCTCTTTATATTTCGCTGTAGCCCCCCGGCACGTCCGTGCGCTCTCGTTTTTAAGTGTGCTAACGCACGATCGTGCATAGGGAATAAAACTGTAAAAAAAAATTCCTAATATATTTATTTAATTATTATTAAAGAAAGTATTACTTTTAATAATACAGTATTTTGATATTAACTTCTATTTCAACGAATTTTTGGTATTTTTACACATAAATTACTGTTTAGTCTACATAAATCAGTCTCTTTTATATAACGAAAAAAAAAACATGTTAATCTTACACAACAATCTTAAGTACTATCTTTAAAATAAAAAGTCATTCTAGACAACAAAAAATCAATACTTAAATGGTAGTATAGTAAATAAAACCGAACTGAACTAAAATTAACCCGTCACTTGTAACGATGTAATTTTTTAATCCGAGTGGTCTCGGTTTATTCTTTACTAATTATGTCGCAATTTACATTTCCCTGTGTAAGGTATAATATGTTGATCGATTGAGTTCACCTGCCATCCTTTTGAGAGACAAGCAAGCCTTCTTAACAGCGTCGAGAACGGGCTGTACCTTCCACAGCGGATTTGAATTTCCTGAAGGTGGTCCATCTGTGGGCACTACGTGCATGTTATTCCTTATTAAGAAATAATGGTCTCCTGGCATTTGACTAGCGATTAATTCCAGGTGCATACCTGTATGCTAGTACATAATATTAATTCGTGGGTATGGTATACAGCGCATAAATAAAAGTATACCAAATAATTTGCACATCTCTTGAGAAGTTGTGCTCACGACTGACCCAGTTTTACGCAGGTAGTACAAAATTGTGCATTGTGCGGTATTTTTGAAAAAATCTTCATTGAAATATGTAGAAAGATATTGCAGCGGAGTTTTAGTTTCAGAGGGTTCCGGTCGATAACGAGAATTATGCTCGACATCAGTAAAAGTAACAGCTTTCCAGATTATAGATCTCTTTTGTGCCTGACGACAATTAGGCATTTCGAGGTGGCAGGAGTTTGCAGGTGGGGGAAAGTTCTCCTGATTTATATGCTGCAGCTATGTCAAAGTCATATTTTGATATGAGTCACTGTCTCTGTTATGGTTACCTGGTGAAATCTCTGGGGGTATATCATCTTCATCATCTAGTAGTCGAGGTACATTGACAGCCGATTCTGTCTCCTTATCCGATATGTCCAGGTCTGATTGACGCCCATCTCCAAGCACATTTTGTAACAACTCGTAGTTTAGAGGTTGTTCTGAGAAAAAATGCGAGGTTATTGGTATGAACATTTAACTAACGGAACATAACAACGCACGATCGTGCGTTTATATTTCGCGCGCCGGTTACGATAGTTAAAACTTATCAATTTACTAGGGTTATTTAATATTAATGAACGTAAATATCAACATTAGCTATTTTGATATGAAAAATAATAAATATAATAAGTAATAATGAAAAATAATTTACTCACGTCGACCGTCGCGATCCACAAAGTGAACGTCCCTCTTGAATACGTCACGACACGCCACTAATATGGTCTACTCCCACGCAACTCTCCGCATTACAAAACGAAATCAATGCACAAACGATCGAAGTCGTTTCCGCAAGGTAAAATAAAATTCAGATATCAGTACAATTTTTTAAACATCAACGCACGATTATTACAAGCCGTTCCGAAAGGGTTATTAAGATTTAGTAGTAGTTGCCATTTCATTTGTTCGTCATTATTATTGAACAACAGTCTTTTCTTCTCGAACTAGACCTTTATTAGTTTCCATAATATGGCAAGGGTCTATAAAAAAGCAAACTTTTTCTCCCGGGCATGGATGAGGAAAATAAGTCTTCATATTCACATCAGATAATTTAGAGATTAAAATTTCAGCTGCACCGAAGTTTGCAGAATAACCATCAAATGTAAGATTTAAAACTATTACGCAAAACTCATGGTATTTTGCAAGCATATTTTTTCAAATTTGCCTTTGTTTCAGCACTTACACCGAGAGGCAAAAAGTACTCCACAGGTAATTTCCAATTTTCATTTAGGGCAACCGGCATAAATACTAAAGCTTTCGTTGCCACAGTCTCTTCTTCTACACCTTGCATAGTAGTAGAAGTAAGAGTAAATATGTGCAGAGTAGTATAAGAAATAAAGAAGACATGACATCACCTCTCAAGGCAACTGTACCTAACTGTAGTGCAACATCACCCTTTAAAATGTTCTCATCCGAAAACACCAAATTGGGAAGCTCGCCAGAGTCGAGCAAGCGAATCAGCTCTTTTGATCGCTCTAACCGTTTACTTCGTTGCAAAGCTGTGAGTTCCTGAGAAATGTTTTTTTTTTCAATGGTTTGACCTTAAACTTTTCTTTCAATATACGACGAACACTATGGTCGCTCACGTTTAGATCCTGCGCGAGCTCATTTGCTGAGCGCGCTGGATTTCTGTCCAATCGGTGACGTACCTTTTCGACGACTGCTGGTGCCTTTTGCAGTACAACGCCGTCCTCCACCCTAGCGTTTCTTAATGCTACCAGTCTCAGAATATCGTTTAATAGTGCGATGTACAAATTTCTCATTTAGTTTAAGATTTGCCAGCGCACGACGAATTTTGATGTTCGATTTTCCTTCCAAATACAGAGCAATCACTGAATTACGTTTTAAATCCATCGTTTTAAATTAAGAATGTTTTATCTCACAACAAAATCACATCAAAACATGAAAGAAAATATGTCAAAGAACAACATTTTAAATTTTGGCGGCGTTCGATTTAGTGGTTCGAATTTTGAAACAGTTACGAGTAGATCGAGACGGACAGTTCAATTGCCGGTCCCGGTATATAAATGGTATTATTAGATAATCACTTATTATTAAAATAAAAAATTAAAATAATGAAACATTTACATATTTACGTTGTAAGTCTTACAATACCTAATAATAATTGTACTTCAATAACAAACAATTGATCAAACAAATTCAATGGAAGCTTTGGCTTTGCATGGTTATTCAAATAGAATATTTAAAAATCTTTAATATACATTTGAGCAAAAAAATCAATGAGAGCGTTGGGTTTGCATGGTTTTAAAAAGTTTGGATAAATTTGGCTCATAACTTGTCGTTTTAAGTTTCAAACACGACTCGAAATTATCATACGTTACTTGGCTTCTTACCTTACTTTTAGTTATATTCATGCAAGAGCACGCTTACTCGCACGAATATTTCGATCCGAAGATAGCTTCCTAAATGCCAACTTCTTTCCCTCACTGTAGCAATCTTGAAGACTATTCCATGCGTCGAATATAAGTGCCTTAACTCGCGGCATTTCTTTTAAAACTGTCCATTTTTGTTGCGTTACGTACAAACATTTCTGGACCTCCAACTCTTCCAACTTGCTTTTCCACTCTGTAAGTTTTCCACTCCACAAAGTTTTATTTTTTAAGCCGATCAATAGTATTTCTAGAAATCCGGTATCAACTTCAAATAACCCAGTGTGGATTTTGTTACTATTTGTGTTGAGAGGATTTACTATGAATGCTAGAGTGGTTTTGTTGGTTTTGAATTGCTGAAATGTGGTCTTGCTATTAATACCATCTGGGGAACCAATAACCATTGACAATGCCTCAGAAATATACAGACCACTCTCTCTTTCTTTGTTGTCAATCTTTGTTCCTATTTTCTTTTCCACTGTCTTTCTCACTTTATTCTTCAGTTTTTTACCTCTTGATATGGCTCGAGTTTCTGGGGTTCTAGTATCAAGAATCATAGCTACCAGAGTACCATCTACTACTAGTTTTGCACCGGCTTACTTTATAGCATTTCGAGGCTGTGATTCAGCCATACCTCAGTTCATACCACAAGCCACTTTTAACCCTTAACCAGGCCCAAGAAAACCGCTTAAGCTGGGCAAGTGGTTTCTATGGATTTAATATACTATTTGCGTCTTGTATGACGTGTAGTCTGTGAAAATTGGAAAAATGCATGGAAAAGTAAAGTAAATGACGTGGGAAAACATAATCCCTTTGCCTGGCAAGAGATAAAATCATGTGGGAAACGTAATCCCATTGCCTGGTAAGATAATTGAGAAATTTAGTGCGCCTACTTAATATTTAAACCTAAAATTTTAATTTTTTTTTGTAAATAATTAATATAATTAAAACTTAAAATATTTTATACCTTCTGTGTACTAAATATCGGGAATTTGTCAATAAAACAAAAAATACAAATTATTCATCTAAATTTATTTTATCGCCTTCAAAGTAGGCCCCATCGCTTGCAATACAACATCTCCAACGCTTCACCCAGTCTTCCATACATTTTTCATAGGCTATTTGCGGTATGGCCTTTAGCTCATTCAGCGAATTTTTTGTTATGGCTTCTATCGACTCAAAACGTTTTCCTCGAAGTGGTAATTTTAACTTGGGAAATAAAAAAAGTCAGACGGAGCCATATCAGGTGAATACGGTGCTTGGTCGAGAACTTTTGTTGTATTTTTTGCTAAAAACTCTTTCACTATAATGGCTGTGTGTGATGGTGCATTATCATGGTGCAGCATCCATGAGTTGTGTTGCCACAAATCTGGACGTTTTCGGCGGATACTCTCACGCAAACGCTTCATGACGCCTAAATAATATTCTTTATTCACTGTTTCTCCCTTTGGAAGGAAATCGGAGTGAACCACACCACGGTAGTCAAAAAAAAACTGTCAGCATCACTTTGATTTTGGAGCGACTTTGCCGCGGTTTTTTGGGTTTCGGCTCGTTTTCGAGACGCCATTCTGAAGACTGTTGGCTTGTTTGCATGTCGTACTCATAAACCCATGTCTCGTCGCCAGTTATTATAGGTTTCATAAAGGTCGGATCCATAGAAGCTCGGGAAACCATGTCTTCAGCGACATGCTTTCGCTGCGCTCTTTGAACAAAATTGAGCTCTTTTGGAACTAGTCGAGCGGCGACGCGTTTCATGCCTAAAATGTCAATAAGAATGTTGTGGACGGACTTAAAAGATATGTTCACCTCACTAGCCAACTCTCAGACTCATACGTCGATTTTCGAGCACTAGCTTCTTGATTTTGTCGATGTTTTCTTTGGTCGTAGCGGTTGAAGGTCTACCAGAACGAGGCAAGTCTACTACTACTTCTCGGCCTTCTTTAAAGCCTTATACCATTCATAAGCCCTTGTTTTCGATATACACGATTCGCCGTAGGTATTTCGCAACATTTTAGTGATTCACCACATGAAATATCATTCGAAACACAAAATTTAAGGCATACTCTTTGTTCAACAATATTTTCCATTGTAAAAATCGCCGAGAACTCAAAACTATGACCAACAAAAAGTGTAGTTTAAAACAAATTAAATGACAGATCCCGCTCAAACTTTGCGCGCTAAATCAGTACAGTGCTACCAACATGCAGTAAAAAATTAGAACGACCTCTTTTACGCGGGTCTTTTTATTGACATATTCCCGATACTTTTTACACAGAGTAGTATATTACAAATCTTAGTAATATTAACTTTTTTAGCTTATGATTACATCAGGTTCATTTTTTTATAGTAAAGGATGACAAACGAGCACACAGTCCACCTGATGGTAAGTGGTTGCTGTGGCCCATAGACATCGACATCTATCCTCTATTACAAATCAAAATGCAGTTGCATTGTCACCCGTGAGGACTAAGATGGAATGCCTCATTTAAAGTTAAAGGGGTCTCTGGTTCTCTACACTCACCATACGAAACAGCAGCGTCAAGCTGCTATTTCACGCTGGTATTCTGTTAAAAAGTGGTCTTTCCACGGTCGAGCCGACCCATTCGCGCTATAACTATACTACTAACATAGCTGCAGCATGGCTCTACCGTGTATCAGATCACTAGGCAAGTAAGTATTAGAAATAAAAACATATTTTGTGATAATAAATTTATTTAAGTAATAAAAAATTAAGCTTTTGGTGGAAATTTTCCATGCAAGGGAATACACAAAGAGTCACCTTACATACTTTGCACATGAACTTTGACCGTTTTTCTTCTTTTCTAGTGCTACAGAATCTGCACCTCTTATATGATGATGGTTCCAAATAATGCTGTCCGATTCGACCCAATCTTATTTCATCAGGTACACCGAAGATACCCCCTTTTTATTTTTGAAAACCATAGGGTTATGCTTTTGGATATTTATGTCTCCAGACTTCAATCTCAAACGGAAGTCTCTGTGTATATTTTGTCTTGTTTCATTTTTATGTTTGTATAAGATATATGAATTTATAACAGCACACTCGAATAAAAACCAAAAAAGTCTTAACCACGACTTTTTGGATTTCCGTCCGATCGAATATGAGCTCCGGAAGTGGTCGAAATAGTCTACACCACCCATGTTTCGAGTGTACTCTACAATGGCAGACGGGCAGTACATGTTTTTCTTCTCACCATTCTTTTGTCTCCTTTCTATAATTTCTATGTCTCTAGGGTTTACTGCCGATGTTATCACATGGACATCTTTTGTATCCCTCCACTTTATTACACCAATGGGGTGGCAAAATCGGTATGTAAATTCACCTGGTTTTAATTTATCAGCAAAATCTTTGGGAAGCCCTTTTCGTGTCATTCGAACAGTACCTATTGAGAATATTCCCTTATTGTAAAGGTATTCAACAAGAGCTACAGAAGAAAAAAAATTGTCAAAGACTAATAGCGTATTTCTCGGTACGTTAACACACAATTTTTTGACAACCCTAAACCCCTGACCTTCTTCATTGGGTTCATTATCTTTACCAGAGTTAATGTCGCACTGGTAAAGATATCCAGTCTTTGCGTCGCATCTACACCATGCTTTATAACCTCTTTTAATGGGCTTAAGGGGCATGTATTGTTTTTTGCTGTCACGCCCTTTAAATTTAACCATGCTCTCGTCAATAGATTGAGCCTGAGAGTTGGTAGCATTTTCTTGGAATGCTTTATTTAGAAGAATCAACATTGGTCTTATTTTTTGGAGTTTATCATCATCTTTATGACTTTGCGGCAAATCGGTAGTTATATCGCAAACATGAATATTTTCTAATATATTTTTAAATTTTTTACAAGTCATTGTTCCAGATATCTCTAGGTTGGTATAAAAGAGGTTCCGAGTTCCAGTATAATTCAATATCTGATTGAGGAGCTATTCCCATGAGAAGGACTATGGCCAAAAATGCTATCCTCGTTTTTGAAATTCTATAGTGTATACAAAAGCCGATATTTTTAAAGAATTATTTTGTATCTAAATCTATTTGTTGCGGAGAGAATCAGGGTTTCCGATACTTTTTTTTGCCGCCAGGCGGTGCTTCGTATGCGTCAGGTCCAAACAGCTGTCAGATAGCACAGATTCCTACCGAACGTATTATTTTTTTTTAGTGAAATTTTATGTATTTGGAAGAGTTATTGATTTTATTATGGATTACGGCCAAAGAAAGGTTGCCGAACTGAAAATTGAGCTCAAAAAGAGAGGCGCAAAAGTCACTGGTACTAAAGAAAAGCTCATTGAAAGGTAAACATAATCTACTTCTATTTGTTTCCACAATTTGATTGTTTTTTTTTTAACTACTAAATTGAAGTTATTTGTGTTTTAGTGAGTTGTTGTTGATTAATGTATATTATATATTCCAGGCTAAATGACTATGACAGAAACAACAACTTCAAATCAAATGAAAATGATAATTCTCATCTCTTAAGTGAGATTAATTATGTAATAGAATGGCCAGAAGAAAAGTTATACAAAAGTGTAGATTCAAAAACAGTTTTACCCAATTTTGACATTATTAACATAAATACGTATTTCCTTGAATTGTATAAAGACGGCATAGGAATGTCAGATTATTCTGCAGTGCACAGAAGAGGTTATAATATGCTGCAAAATAACTACCTACTCGCATTAGTGACCGCAAATACTAGTACACATATATTTTTCAAAGGTCAAGTCCATTCTGAAAATACAAAAGCCCTCACTTATTTTGCTTCCATTGCCATATGTAATGGAAGTGGATCTATTATACAATCGGTGTGTGAATGTGTAGCAGGGAAAGGACCAAAAGCCATTTGCAAGCATGTGTCAGTTTTGTGCTATGCTATACTCAAATTCCGAGAGCAGAATATATGGTTAATTAAAATGACTCCAACACAAAAAAAAACAAGTATGGCATGTACCTAAAAAAAATAAACTTGATGTTTCGCCGAAAAAAGCAGAGAACCTTTCATATGAAATAGCAGAATATAATGTTTGCAAAAAAAAGAAAAGAAGTGTGTGCTATGATCCAAGACCACAGTCCTTTATCAGTCAGGGAAAAGAATGGGCTACAACAGTTAGAAATAAAGTCATTAACTACTGCTCATTGTCACAAAAAAGAATAGGATTATGTGGAATTTTGGACAGTGCAAACATGCAAGATGTGATACATGACCATGATTACCTACCTTTTCCTTTACATCATCAACTTATTCTTAATAAAATATCTGTAAGCCATTTATTCCAGATGAATTTATTTATTATAGTAGCTACGACTTGTACAATCTTATTGACTGTACTGTAGCAAGCGAGGTGGTGAATCATGAGAAGTTGTAGCTACTATATTTTTTTATTATTTAGTATATTATGTAATCATCAATATTAATTGCACTTGCATAGGGATTGTAGATGTTTGTTTAGGTTTATACTTTCATACTTTCCTTATCCTTTGCCCCTAACAGGTTACACCTGACTCAGCAAAGGAAATTGAAAAGAAAACTAAAAATCAGACGAAGACAAAGTTATGGCATACAGAACGATCTTTTCGAGTGACTGCTTCAAGAGTCGGTGAGATTTGTAAATTTACTGCTAAAAAGGACCAAGAAAAGTATGCACAAAGCCTTATATGTAATAAGAAAATAGTAAGCACGGCCTTAGAATGGGGCAAGTCTATGGAAACCACAGCAATTGAAGCATATGAGGGGAAAACTGGAAAAAAAGTAGAACGCTGTGGTTTATATGTTTCTGTGCAGTACCCTTTCATTGGCGCTTCTCCTGATGGATTAATTGGAGATAACAAAATTTTAGAAGTTAAATGTCCATATTCCATAAAGGATGAAATGATTGGATCCAACAATTATTTCCATTTAGAGCATGATTTGCAACTGAAAGAAACAAGCAACTATTATTACCAAATCCAAACGCAGTTACTTGTCACAGGAAGAGATTGTTGTGATTTATTTATATGGACTAATGTTGATGAAAAAATAATAAATGTTAAAAAAAATGATTCATTTATACAAAATATTATAATCCCTCGAGTAAAAGCTTTTTTTTTCAATTTATGTTGCCAAAGATAGCAAAAAATATGTATGATTGTTAATATATTTTTATAGTATATTGTAAGATTCTATGTGATAGAAATTAGAACAAAGTTTAATTTTGTATTCTTGTTATTATTTAATAAAGTATGTTTAATACAGTACTGTTAAAAGCGACATCAATTAAATAAAATTGAAAAAAACATATTTTACTTTATAATATTATTTTTGAAATTGGTTAACATAAAACATACAAATATTATTCTATCTGCTAAAGGCACCAATTTTGAATCCAACTTGCCGCTTAAGATCTTAAAAGTTTTAGCCAAACCAATGACCCTTTCAACGTGTATCCGTTCTGAAGATATATTTTTTGACCTTGTCAGTTGAGAAGTCTCAAATTGTCCATCAGTATTTTTTAAAAATTCTGGCACATTAACTGTAACATCTTTATGGCACACTAGGTCTTGTACATTAAAGCCACGGTCACTAAAAATGATATCATTAGGTTCAAGTTTATCAATAAGTCCACATTTTTCAAACAATTCACGATCACTCGTAGATCCACCATATGCATCGGATACAAATGTAACGCAGCCTGATGCTGAAATCCCAATTAAAACTTTTAGAGTATTTGCTGATTTGTAAGTGGAATATGTAAGCTGTTGTGTAAGTGGATTTTTGGGCTTCTCTATTTTTATTTCCGTGCAATCTACTATCACAGTGCATGGATTAATCTTGCCATAGTATTTCATATTTTTATCTATGCATTGTTTTGGCACCCAAACATTTAACTCTTTCAATTTACAATATAAGTAATTGATCCATGTTATGAAAATGTTACTTAGTACCGTTTTATTAATCTTCGATCGAAAGGCGAGTTCTGTAAATAGCATGTTCCGGCGTAATTTAATTAATACTAGAAGGAATTGATCACAAGGGTTTAGAAACGGCACCTTCAATGTTTTCAGTTGAGGATAATATTTTAAACAATTTACTTCATCTCCAAAAATACTAAATATGAATTTGATATGTTCATAATCTTGGAAACCAGTATAAAACTGTACTTCGGCCGCATTGGTTATATCTAGCACATTTGCAATTGAAGATTTTTTATTTTTATTTTCATTTTGAAGACATTCTTTAAGTGTTTTGAGATTATCACTTCCACATAAATCACATTGGATACCAACATCATTCTGTTTCTTCTCGAATTCAATTTCTACTTCGAAAAAAGTTTGTAGTTTCCATGAGGAAGGTGTCATCCTTCTCTTTTTCATTGTTTATGTGTACTTGGACACTAATTTTCCTTTCATTTCGCGCCAAACGCCTTTGATGCCGCTCCTTCTTTTTTTGATGCAAACTAGAATTTTGGTCAATCCATGGGAATCGACTCGGCACTGGCTTGACACATTTTTTCAACACAGGCCTGGCTGGAATAATAATTCAATAAATATAATGTCATAATGAAATCATTTTTGATAAGGCAAGTACTAAAAAACGTTTACACTACATCATTGAAGGTTAGTCGCGCACAGATATAATCAAGGTGACTTAACTGAAGCTTATCATTATAAATAAGTACAAAATATTCTTACGTTTTTCTAATACTGAGTCCTTCGGTAGCTGGTAATCATCCTTTGTGAAGTGGCTTTTGCAAACGAGGCTATTTTTCGTTGGAGTAAATTTATCTCTGCGAATGGCTACAAGCCACTGTTTTAATCGGTTTTTATCTTCTGTAGGGAACTTATGCCCTCCTTTTTTATTTGCACACATAGGCACTGCACAACACTGTGGCATTTTGGAAAACAATATTCTGTTTGTAACGTTTTTAAGGATAAATAAACCAAAAAAATGATCGAAAAATATAAATCGTGTAAGTGTTTTGACAGGTAGTTGGACCTGACACTACAGCGCTGCCATCTCACGGGGAACATTTCAGAAAACCCTCATTTGCAAATAGCAAAGCTTGTGCCTTCGAATCTGGACTGTAAAGGGATGCTGGTTGAGAGAAAGGGCGTTCGTTAAAATAAATTGCACGTCTACCTTATCACCGCCGTCCTCGCAGATCTTCCACGCTCCAGACAGGTTTTGCCAAGTCGTAGACGAGCTAAATGAGGGTAAATTTAGAAAAAATGCATTATATAAAATAAACTACATGGTGCCAACACTATTATTTGGTCAAATTTCAACTTAGCAGATAGAGTCACGTTATCAGGACAATCCTGTGGAAGCCTTCGCAAGAATAATAGCCATTGCATGTTCAAAAATTTCCGTGTAATACCTCATCGAACCAGGAAAAGAGGAGGGTAAAATAATCTTTTCACCAACTGTGGCATTTTTTTCCGGCATGTTGATTAATATAACTGTTACTCCCGTGTACTGTTCAGCTAAAATCTTAATTAGGTTATATTTTATCAATTGAGTACGGTCACGCTCTACAAGAATGTAAGTATCCACTAACGTCCAAACCTAATATTCGATCTTAATCTATTTTTAGCTATCCAAGATTGATAATTCAATCCATTTTATGGTTCGACAGTGCCAACAACCAATCCAGGGATTAAAATTACAATCTGTAGAAGCAAGCTATCCTCGAGAGGTCGGATTCCAAAAAAAGATAGACCTCTGTGGGCGAATGACAATTGGTGTTTCAATTTTGACGTTTAGTGCGATCGGTGTAAACAATTTAAATTCGCAATCCGAGAAAAGCCTAGGATTAATCCTTCGAGTTCCAACCGATTACGTATTTTGTTTTATTTTATTTGCGCGAAAATGGATTTAACATTACTATCTAGTGACAGTGACAGTGACTTGTAAATGCTAGCTCAGTTATCTGACTCGAGTGATGAAGATGAAACCCTACGCCGCCTTCCAAAGAGAATTAGAAGAGTGAACTATACGCAGTCTCGATGACGGGGATTTTACCTTTAGGTTTTGATTGAACAAACATGCGTTCAATTCTTTATTGTTAGAAATAACCCCATTATTACGAGTAACATCCACGAGGTAAAGCAAAGCTTGTCTATTGAAAATTAGATAATTTTGTACAATCTATATAATATACTTCATTTTATGTAATCCTTTGCACAAATTACGGAGTATCACCATTGCATCAACTTTCGTTGACTGATATCCGTAGCAGATTTTGTTGGAGTGTCAAAATCTACAGCAGGCAGAATAGTGCGAGACACATTATCAGCAATTGCTCAATTATATGATAAATATATTTATGTTCATCGAAGGAGTGCAGACAAATTGTTGACAACAATTTGTTGCTGTAGCATTAAACTGCACGGCTATTCGTACCCACTCCTTGTCTTTCATTTTATTGCTGCTGGCGTTTGTGGCTTTAGACATTATAATTTTGCTCATTTCGTTGAGTTCGAGTAAAGCTTTGTTTTCATCTTTAGAAAGTGGCTTGCTCTTTATCTAAAATAAAAAGCGATATATGTTGTTGTACGGGCTAGAATAGATATGTATTGCCACCAAGCATCAAATGATACAATATCTAATATATTAAAATATAACTTACTATTTGTGTCTCCATTATTTTGTTTCACAAAGATGTTGTAAATATTTCTGTTTCCAAAGATGAGTTTAATTCTAAAAAAGGTTTATAACATATACAAGAATTACGAATACAAATGATCGAACCGAAACAGTGTAACTTGATAATTTTTTTGACCGACGTGATGAGCGATGACGCTGCGGCTGCTACTGACCGGCGCGGCGGCGTTCCGTTACGTGATTGTCTTCTAACTATAGTTACATTGATTTAAATAAAATTATCATTTTATAATTTTAGAGAGAAAAAGCGAGTTAATGTAATAACTTGTAATTAGAGTCAATAGTAATAAATTTAAAATTACATTTGAGGAGCTGGCGAACGAAAGCGGACTTGTCAGATTAATGATTTTTTGCACGAGGGGCAAAGTTTTGAAACAAGCAAAAAACACTTGCCAGATTTCAGATTTTTAGTGCATGCGAGCGTCATTAAAACACAAAACGTATCCGTTGCATGTTTATCAAAAATCTGAATAGATATTTTTTTTTGTCTTGGACAAGTCCGGTTTTGTTCAAAAGTTTGGACAACTCCGGTTTTGATTGATAAATTGATGGACATGTCCGTCCGTATTTTAAATGAAACTCAAATTTTTCATATCAAAATTTTAATCACAAAAATCGACAAAATTAGACAATCTTGCAGATCGGGCTCACAACAATCACATTCCTCGACATCGGAGTCAACATCATCATCATCGACGTTATTTTCTGCACATGTATGATGAGATGTAGTAGCTGTTTAATTGGAAATAATGGTTTTAAACCATTCAAGTTCAGGATTTTGTGACCATTGATCTCCGAACTGTTTGGTCAAGATTTGCTCCATGTCTTTCTTTTTCTGTTGCTTAATCTCATTCATCAGTGGAAGTCTACGAAGAAGGGACGGATGATTCTGTGATGATTTTAGCAAAGACACTGCGCTAAGTCCATCTTCAGGGACATTATAAAAATTTGACACTTTTACGCCACAGTGTATACAGAATGGGTCCCACATATATGCAATAAATGAAACCACAAGTAATACTAGTCCGTAGTAGTGTAGAAAAATTAAATATTAAATTAAAACCCGTAAAATAAAAAAGTGAAATTTTCAAACAAAATAAATATTAAAATAAATTCAGTAAAAGTGAACACTGTTTAGACAACGTACCTTGACCCCTTGGAAGAGTGACAACGTTGCACGCGGGTGGCACGCCGACAAAAGACACCGCTGTCGATATGTCGCAATACCAATAGTTTGCACTGCGTGGCAACGTCGTTTTTTATTGTTCAAGGATTCAAGTTCATTGAATCATTGACTTAGTGACCCAATTCTATAGAGTGTTCAAATTTGCTTAAAATTAAAACTCTACTTTTTGACCTAATTACTGGACCGATTACGTTCATTTTTTGTATATCGTCAGCAAAGGCGATAACAAGTATATGGTTTCATTTATTACATATATGTGGAACCCATTCTGTATAAGTGAAAC